ATAATAAATACTTACTGAAGATTCTGGATCTGACAATTCATCCAGTAATTTCCTTGCATCTACCACAGCCTGATAGAGTCTCAGATTTTTGCCATCAGAAGCAACAAAGCAAGCACTTGCAGAATTGCAGTATGTTCCTGAGAAACGAAAATAAGAGCTTTGGGTTAAAATGTGTAGTTTATTTTCATTATTGGCTGAAGTATGAGAAACAAATATTCATGCTTTTCTTTTTAAGCATAACCATGGTCTAGAATCAGAATTAAACAGACACATGAATGGACATAAAATTATGAACAAAAAAGTCAATAAAAAATAGATTATGAGATGGAAAGACTAAAAACTTCTAAAAATTCTAAAAATAAGTCTCATGCCTGTATTCCAAATACTCATTAAAAATCATCTTAATAATGGCAAATATAAACCATTTGTGTATAACAAACAGTAGTTTAAAAGCTTCTGTTAATTTTACAATAAAAGGAACACTTACCAAGACAGTAACTGGGAATAAGAGTTGGAAGCCAAGCCACATTAGAGAAGGCTGAGGTATGTAAAGAGTTAATCCGAGCCAATTCTGATACTCCTCCAGTGTATGACAAAGGTCCTATTGGGTCTACACGCCACAGAATAAGTTCACTGTAGATTGCATTTGGGTCATGAAATGTACGGGTTGCTGCATTTCTAAGAGGTTGTTTCGAGGAACCTTTTAAATGTTTTACAGGATCCATTAATCTACTTAACTTATTGTCTGAGTCCCACTGACAATCTGATTCAGGAGTCAACAAAGCATTATGATGAGACGACGTCAATAACAGTGGTAAAACTGAATGACATGCCAAGTCATTGAGGTGAAATCGATGACCACAATATCTAAATTTGTGAGATACAGTCAGAACAGTGGTAAAGGCAGATTTATCAGCAAAAGTGACTGCCCACTGATTTAAAGAACCATCTATGTGTTTGGAGACCATCATTACTGTGGGAGCTAAAATGTTCATATTCGTACTGTGTGATCTGGAGTGTGGCTGTGATCCGTGAGGACTGTCTACAGACATCATCTCTCGGTGTAAGAGAGTGTGGCGAGAATCTTTTGAAGCATTTACACAGGCATACATCATGATATTTTTACTGAGAGAGCTTGCATCACCAGAGGGAAATGCAACAGGAATCCGAGAAGAAAAAGAAACCTGAAAAACACAATTATATGATTCAGCGTAAATAGTTTGCCTCCTCTCAAAAATAGTCTTCCAAAAACACTTCTATTTTCAAAATACCAAATCTCAGCTTCCTAGCAAAAAATATCATTTTCAACCTCTTTATGGTTTAATCTTTCTATTTATGTAATATCATATCTCTATTCATGGCCTAAGAGAAGACTGAAGAAAAAATAAGTTTCAAGTGCTTGTATATCAAAATGACCACAGCCATGGATCTAAATAGCAATAAAGTTGAGAAAAATAACAGATAAAGGTAGCTTGATTTAGCTAATAAAACTGAGAGTGAAGGAGGACTCATCCTGAGTCATATTTTCAGGGTAATTTCTTAGTTATATTCAAAACATTATGGATTCCCAGAAAAATTAATTCATATTTATTCAAATATTCAGTATTACATTTCAAAGCCAAATTCATTTTCTTTGAACTAACCAACTTTGAAAAATTTATGGTCACTGATCCACTTTGGAATCAAGA